AAAAAAAAAAAAAAAAAAAAAAAAGACTGTGAAATAAGATGAAATGACTGAGTGTGTGCATAAGTTGCAATTCATTCAAAATAATCAAAGCTGTAAAAAATATTAAGCAAAGGCTGGGCACAGTGGCTCCAGCCTGTAATCCCAGCACTTCAGGAGGTCAAGATGGGAGGATTGCTTGTGCCCAGGAGTTTAAGACTCTCCTGGGCAAGTAAGTGAGATCCCATCTCTTTGAAAAAGTAAAGGAAAACTAACTGATAAAAACAAAACAAAAAACTATTAAAGTGAATTTCATAGAATTCCTAACTAAAACAATGTACAAATACTAACTGCATTTCTCTGTACAAGTCACAAAGAATTAAAAAATAAAATTTAATAACCAAAAATGTAATCTATAATATGCCATTAAAAAAAATCAGGGCAAATTCTTCAGGTCCCCTCCAGCTGTGGGAGCTTTTCTGTCCCCTCAATAAATCCTGCTTTCTCAAAAAAAAAGAAAAAAATCAAGTGCATAGTAATAAATCTACCAAAAGATATGATACTCCTATAGTAAAAACAACAAAATACTGCTGAGAAAAATTAAAGAAGGTGTATATAAATGAAAAGTTATACCATTTTCATGGAAGAATCAGCACTGTTAAAATAATAGTTCTTCCTAAATTGGTCCATAGATCCAATATAATCCAATTCAAAATCCAAGCAGATATTTTGGTAGAAAGAGGTAAGCTGATTCTAAAATTCAAATAAAAATGCAAAGGACCTAGAATAGTCAAAGCAGAGTTGGAAATACCAAAATTTACCATAAAACTACAAATATCAAAACATATTAGCAATAATCAAGTAGATCAATAAAACAAAACAGAATTTCTAGTAACTAACATACAGTTAGCAGTTCTGCAAGGAAGGCAGTGGAGACAGGTAGATCTTTGCAATAAATATTACTGGTACAATTAAATATCTTTGTGGAAAGCAGAATCCTACCTTACACCACGTACAAAAATTAATTTGAAATGGACCAAAACAGACATACATGAGAAAAATAAAACAATAAAGCTTCCAAAAGAAAACAAAGAATAGCAACTTCAAAATCTTGGGCAGGCAAGATTCTTCAAGAGGACACAAAAAGCAGCAACCATAAAAAAAGGTGCCATGCTAGACTTGACTTCATTAAACCTAAGAACTTCTGTTTATTTATTTATTTATTTAAAAAAGGAGAAGGAATGAAGAGAGTTAAAAAAAAAAAAAAAAAAAAAAGGCAGCCAAAGGACAAAGGAAGACGCATGCAGGATGTATATCTACAAAATGACTCTCTCTGGAATATATAAGGAGCTATACAAAATAAGAAAAACACAAATAATCCAATACAAAAATGGGCAACAGACTTGAACATTAACTTCACAAAAGAAGGCATATGAAAATGCACTCAGCATCATCCAACACAGAGAAATGCTAAGCAAAGCCTCAATAAGTCTCCACCACACAGCCATCAAAGTAGCAAAAACTGAGTAAGACAATCGAGGGAAGAGCAAAATCGTGGAGGGACTGGACCTCACATACATTGCAGGGAGAACCCTAACACGACACAAGCATTTTCGGCAGTTTCTCATAAAGCAAAACAATATGACTTCTCTGTGACCCGGCAATTCTACTCCCGGGTATTTACTCAAAAGAAACGAAAATACATATTCAAAAAAAAATGTGTCAGGAATACCCACAGTAGCTTTCTCATAATAGCTAAACCTGGATACATGCACACGCTCATCAACAATGAAGCTGAAAAACAGTGGCCCTCTAACATAGCTAAACACTGCACAGTGTGAACTACTACTCCATGCAACAAAGCCAGCATAATCGTGACTAAAAGAAGCCAGGCACGAGGCAGTGACTGGGAAGACTGAGCAGTTACACAGGTGTATGTCATGTACATAAACATCCATCAAGCTGTATGCTTAAGATCTGGGCACTTTATTATGTATTAAGTTAGACCTCAATGTTAGAAAATGTAAATATTTTACATATAATTAGGTCAAAAACATATTATAATCAAACATAATATGTTCAGGAATATTCCTTTATGTATGCTCTTAAGAAAATTCTCAGCAAGATACAATAAAAATCAAAGTATATGATATTATCTGGTCCAATTTTTATGTTAGTGGAAAGTCAGTCCAAAATTTATAAATTTAATACCCAAAAAAATGGAGTTGCTCTATTTCTTTAAAAAAGTAAGACATATGAACACTAGATATGATTTTTTTCACAACAGTTCTGAAGCCCATTGCCTAAATTTTGTCACCATTATCAAAATACAAATAAAGAACACGTTACAAAATGAAATAAAGGTTCTTACTCTTATGACAATATTAATAATACTCTAAAGAGCATCTCTGTGGCAAATCACTTATTTTCACCCATAAAATACAGAAAGTGAGATTACATCTAAAGGCTTTTTTTAAGTTCAAGGATTCTATGATCTGACAGTCAACTAATTTCAAACTCTGATAAGTTTCTCTAAGTGCCTTCCAAAACCAAAGTTAAGTCTTTTGCCCGGCATTCAAAGTCCTACCTCAGCACGATATTCACATTCACCCTTCTCCAAGCTTTCTCACACCGGCCCCACTTAACACCCATGCAGTTTTCTTTCTCCTTGTCTGTTCAGGTCATTTCCCCCCCGTAAGGCCTCCTTCTCCAGAGCTCTGGACGAGCTTGTTAAAGCCTTTCCGCCGCTCAGTGAATGCACACACCCACATACCTACTGAGCATCCTTCCGCCCCTCCCTGAATCCACCCATTCACAACCACGCCGAGCATCTTTCCGCCTCTCCATGAATCCACACACGTACTGAGCATCTTTTCCACGGATAAGGCACGAAGCTGAAATACAGAGTGAGGACACAGCAGCAGGCCAGCGTTCCGCCTGCAATGCAGACATGACATGAGCTGACTCGAATAGAAGTCAGAATTGAACAACAGGCAAAGAGGCAGTTTATACTATCAGAGTAAAAGCAGACACGATCCATTAAGCCTTAACCCCACTGAAACCCTTCCTCCTCTAATTTTCCCTATTTTACTTCCAGATAGCTTTCTCTCACCTGTTCTAAATCACCATAAGATTGTGTTATATCACCCACCCATAATGCCACTTAGTATGTGTATCTTTTATTACTTCTAATATGAAATATAAAACATATGAAACTTGAAAAAGACTTTTTCCTATACACTTTAAATATCCACAAATTCTCCCAACACTAAATAGAAACCATTCAAAGTAATGATTTAAAACTGCTGTCTAAAAGTGAAGCCCTCCCATATTTTATCTGATAATAGTTATATTCAAAGAATTACGATAAAAAGTAGGGATTAGAAGTAGTTACACCTCATCGGAAATTTCTGTGGAGAATTCTGTGGAAGTTAGCCAAGAGTTAGGTTCCTTGAGAAACTAATTGCATTTTTTAATAAGAGAAACAATTTAATTTTCCTTTTAAAAAGTGTCCCAAAATATTCCTGTATTAACCTGAAATATACAAGTAAGCGTTAATATTTTAACTATCATATACTGAAAACAACACACACACAAAATTCATTTGCCCTCTGCCTAAACATAATTATCCTGTGTCCATAAAACAGTATCTGTGAACATTAGCAACTGTCTTGAAGTTGACATAGTTTGAGTCATGCAACACTTCTGTAACAGAAATGGCACAGAAAGATTAACATCCATGTTTCAGGCTTAACCTATTAACAACTATTTGTATTTTGTTATACTATATATAGTTATATTCTAGGAGGACATGACTTCAACTGCATAATCAAGTTTACGTAAACAACATAAACGAGTATGAATTACCTTATTACCTGAATATTTTTATATACTACCATTATAAATAGCAGTATTTCAAGCAAGCTAAATGCAAATTTAAAATATTCAAATTTTTAAAAAATTTAAATTCAATGTCTTATGTAAAATAATTCAGAATCTATCCATTTTATTTTGAATAAGCCCATACTGTACCTGGCTACTTCCATGGCCAAAAGGAGTACTAGATAAATTAGTGGTTATACTGTGCAAAATAATTTCGCCACTAAGAGAGCCAGAAGCAATGTAGCAATCATTCCAATTGTAGGTTACACAGGTTACCTCGTCTTTATGATCCTGAAAGAGAGAAATGGAAGTAAATACACTGCCATCTGGCCTCCAAATAGCCCATTTTCATGTTTTTGTAAATACCAAATATTATGTATTTGTCAGTCTAACATTTGCTTCATCATTTTCCTCAAATCACTTTGAAAAATTACTCAAATGAGTAAGTACCTGATCAATACCAAGTCTTCTTAGGAAAGAGATTTATTTTTCACAACCCTAATAATGGCCCAGGTGCTCTAAAAAAAGACATTATGGAAAGGCATTACGTCTCCCTTAAAAAATTCGATTCTACTGACAAATAGCAGGTATTGCAAGTTATCAGGGGAGTCCCACCCTTGAGAGTATTACTGTTCAACTAAGAACACAGGACACTTAAATTACCTTGGAAACGGCAGGGTGAACACTAAGTGAACGGTAGAGCAAAGTGTCAGCGGAAAGAGAAGGAGCCACCACTTGAACTGAGTGACAGAGGGAAGCTTTGCGGAAGACACGATTTGAGTTCAGTCGTAAAACTAGGGGAAAGGAAAGAACTGACGGTGTGACACGGAGGCGCATCTGAGAGCACAGCAGCCCCACTCACTGAGCACCCACCAGTGCTGGGGCTACGCAGTCCCACTTACAAAGGAACTGTTGAGGCCACACGCCTGCCAAGTGGCAGGGCCAAGACTAATTCCACATCAGCCGAAAGCCCAGTCCCTCACTCTGCACCAGGTACCCCCATGTCCAATGAGTCCACTTTGAGGCAGCAAAACTGCTGGGTTTTGAACAAACTGAGGTCTCAAGGGCTACGCTTTCCCACATCAATTAACGATGCCGAGCAGGAGCACACGAAAGTGGCAAGGCCCAGGGGACAATGTTTCAGTCAGGTGCCTTAGCTCCAGAATATAAGCATACCAACCCCTGTACCACACAGAGCCATCAAATCTCAAGAACAGAAGCGCCAACGTTTCACTTAGAAGACAACTTTCTCAGTCCTTCTAGCATTTTTCAGAGACTTATTTACATTTTATACCGTTTCTAAAACAAACAAATGCCATGCTGAGGAAAACACGTCTGATGAGATGAAAGAGGAACAGCAGTCTCTGTGTGCATGGTTCCCACTTGGAAACTGAAGATGGTGGGGTCCAGTACGATTTCCATGACTTCGTAAAGAGGCAGGTGTCCCCCTGAGTTCAAATGTGGAAGAGCAGTCACCCAGCAAGACTCACTGAGCGCCAGAAATCCTGCCAGTCACCACGGAGAGGACTGCCAAGGCCCAAAGGCGAAAGGGGAGATTTCCTGCAGTGAGTCCAACACTCACTGACGGGAGGAACTCTGAGAACGTCAAATAATGAGGACAGAGAAACTATCTGGGATGACTGGGAAACTGAGGATGGAAGAGGAGGACAACTCTGCCATGCAGGGCGAGGCGAGCGAAGCCCTGAGGACGAGGGACAATGTGTGCCACCCCCGGCTACCACGCTCTTTTCCACCCTGCCAGGGACTTCCTTTCTCAACAGGGTTGATTCACCTGGTTCGTACTCGGGAGACCAGACAGTGAATGCCACCCAGCTGGAATGTCATCTCTGCCGTTGCGAGCTGTTTGACACAGAACAAGTTCTTTACTATCTGACTCCATCTGTTCACAGCAATAGTATGACCTGCTTTGAAGAGTTTGAATAAGCAGTCTCAGCATCTCTAAGCACACTGGTTGGCATATCAAATAATTCTAACTCTTCTCATTATTGGCAACTTTTCAATTACCCATTTTTTCCATAGCAAAGATTTTAGAGTTAAAACTCTTGAAGATTAGCTAAATCTAAAATAATGAACTTCCGAAGGCAATAATCATACAACAATTATAGGATTATATTCCAACGTAGCTAAGAGAAAACGATTCTTCTATATACCATTTCACTAGTAAGAATTAACCAGATGACAAGACATAGAACAAAATGATAACGATGTCTGGTTCTTGCTACAAAATAATCTGGAGATGGGAAAATTAGAGAACAGGGGAGGGCACAGATAACACTGGCCATAAATTAATTACCATGCTGTCCAAGGATGAGCACCTGGGTGATGGGTGGAAAAAAGTTCTTTACGTATGCATGTGTCTATAGAGATATAAACATTTTAAAAACTTTTCATATTAAAAATTTTTAAAGGCTAAAATTAAAAATAATTTTAAAGATCAATTGCTAAATATTAAAAGGACAGAATAATAAAAAGCAGAATTCAAAAAAAAATCATAATCAAAGACTTTCTTGTAATGGATATTTTTATTTTCTGAAACTGCAGAAAGCTATTAAAGAAACATTAATTGCAAATAGTAAATAGGTTTAGAAAATATTTCATTACCAAGTTAAAAGTACATACACACAAAAATAACACAAATAGCAGCAGCCACATATTCTACAGAACAAGAAGCCAAATCCCCAAATCTGATTATTAGATTGAATTCTGTCGACCCAAAATCACGCCCATGTTTTCCAAAATGCCTTTTAAAAAGATCCCTGATGACAACAAACCACACTTGAGAAAAAAAATGAAGAAAACAGTTCACTCAAGGATAGTACTAAATGAAAAAGAAGAAAAACATCTTAAGCATTGATAATAAGCATTAATGTTATACATGGAAGAAAAAAGACAAACAAAGTTTTTGACTAAACAGCATCTTTCTTTCCTAACAAATCTTACTTCAGTTGGGCTCAGCGGCTCACACCTGTAGTCACAGCACTTTAGGAAGGTGAGATGGAAAGATTACTTGAACCCGGAAGTTCAAGAACAGCCTGAACAACATAGTAAGATCCTGTCTCTACCAAAAAAAAAAAAAGTCAAAAAATCAGGTGGGCATGGTGGTGCACACCTGTAGTCCCAGCCACTCAGGATGCTGAGGCAGGAGGATGGCCTAAGGCTAGGAGATTGAAGCTGCAGTGCGCCGTGAGCATGCCACTGCAGTCCAGCTTGGGTGACAGGGTGAGACCTTCACTCAAAAAAATAAAAACCTTACCTCAATTCCAAAGTATCTTATTTTTATCATAAAAGAGCAAAAGTAAAAGAAAAATTTGGTAACTACTGCAAACTCATTGTAAGATAACCATTTTTTTGGTAAAGATTTTTTTTTTAATTGCTTACCTTAAGAGATCGATGAATTCTTTTTGATTTTAAATCCCAAATATTAACAGTGTTATTTAGGCCTCCACTGACCAAATACATAGACGTAGAATTTAAATTGACACATGTCTGCTTTTGCTATTAAAACAGAGAGAGAGAGAGAGTTACCTTAATTTAACAGAGGTCTAAAGTAAGCATGTGGTAAATACATGTTAAGTTAAATGCTGTAAAATGTTAATCTCATACTGAAGAGTCGCTTCTCATCATCTTTTGCATGGATTCAATAGCCTATAAGGGATCAAAAGGCTTCAAGGAAATCAAACAGATTTGTGTTCACGTCCACAGACTGGTGACGACAGAGGGGCCTGGAAAATGATGGCAAGTCTTGGTCTCCCCCAGGCCAGCGGGCCCTTTGTGTCTCCATAAGACCTGCTCTCATACCTCCTCAGAACAACCTCAGTTAAAACCAATCCCCAGCAAGCGACTGTGGAGAATGTCTCATGTAGAGCCCTCATCTTACAGACAGGGCAAGGTTTTTTTTTTCTTTTGGGTGACTCCATACCATCTTATTTTTTTATTTTTTTAATTTAACTTTTAAATTTTTTATTTTAAAGATGTGGGGTACAATTCAGGGTTAGGTATACAAATATCCATTCTGCAGGTACCCTTGACAGGGTAAGATTTTTAAAGAGTTCGAGATACTTGCCCTGAGATCCCTCAGACACCGTGTCATCAAAACCGACCACACACTCTTCCCCACCTCTGAGTAAAGGCACTGCCCACCCAGCTTCTCAAGACCAAAAACCCAGACTCACCCCTGACTCTGCTCTCCCTCCCCAGCAACCCACCAGTCAGCTCCACGACTCCCACAAGGGCTCTCTTCATCGAAGCTGTGACGAGCACTAATCCAAGTCTTGCCGAGCCAAGAACAGCAGCTTCCTAACTGCTTTCTCTGCTTCCTTTCCTGCTTTCTCACATCCATTCCCTTTCTGACCTTTATGATTAAGGTGGACTTTAAAAATGCAATGGCTTCTAATCACATGGAGAATAAACTCCAAACCTATTACCTTGGCCTTCAAAGCCCAACTTTAGGTGGGCCCTGACAGCCACAGCTCTTACCATCCTCCTCTTCAGCCACTAACTCTCCAATCATACTGAACTTGCATTCCGATATTTGCCTTAAGCCTTCTACACAGCTACTCTCTCTGCCTGACAAGCTCAACTCCTCGAGCCTTGGCCCGATGGCTTTCTCTGGTCAACAGACGTCAACTTAAATGCCACGTCTTTCGAGACCTCCACGGGCCACCCAAAGTAAGTTGCCATTGCAATGTCTTACTGTAGTTCTCTGCCGAACAACTCATCTGTAACTGGGCATTTATGTTTACTGGTTTATTGGCAATCTCCCACCAGAATGTCAGTTTCATTAGCACAAAAACCATATCCATGCTCAATAAATATTTATTAAATAAATGTCTAAAAACATCGAGGTTACCAAGTTCTTCTCACATGAGTATCTGTGAGTGTCACCATCTGGTAGTGTCACCACTAACTTTGCTACAAGGAACACAACACTGCATGTTTTCTTCCTACTTAACTTTTAGATGCTCTATGAAGTTATGTTAACTGTTCTTACCTCCAGTTGAATGCCATGACAAAAAAGTGAAATGAAGTGCAAAGGGGACATTTTATGACTTAGTTAAAAGTTAAATGGCAAGCAATGCAGATTCAGGCAAATCACCGCAGCTTTCTGAGCCTGTGTTACTTCATCTGAGAAATGAAGAGGGAAGACAAGATCTACTGTTCTCACCTTGAGAGTTCCTGCATCTCAAAAATCTCAGAACCACCCTTTTTGCTCAAAGGAGATTCTTGAAAGGATGCAAATGATCTTCTTCCCCTTCCCCATCCACCACCATACAACCCAAGGTATCTTCTAGCTCTGAAATTCTGATCCAAAGTTTCGACTACTCCATGTAAAAATAGCCGGAGGCACATTACATCAACGTTTCAGTCTCGCTGATATAATCCTCTGAAGAAATCATTCTAGGAATTGACTTGTCTAAGAAGACTAATAATAAGATTTAGAATCTGATTCTCACTGCAAATCAGGACAGTTTGCTATGAATTATCAAAACAATCTTTAAGAAAGTAGCCAGGGACAGTGCCTGCCAAACAGTAATATATTGGGTTTCCAATTATCACAACAGCTATATTCTTAAAGGCTCAAAACAAAACTTACATTTATAGCCAGTATGTTATTTACAAATGTAACTAATGAACTTAATATTAGAAATTATGTGGTCATTACAGGAATCCTGTACCCTCAAGACACAAGGCAACAGATGCAATTTTTAAAAGCCAAAAATAATAGCTGGTCAAATCTCTGGTTATTTAGTAGCCTACCATATCCATTATAAATACTGTTAACGCTAATCGGTCCACTTCAAATAGGTAAAACACAAAATCAAAGAAAATAAACATGAACTTAAAGTTCTACTCCAAAAGTAATTTTAAAATAAATGGTATCATAACTTATTTTCCCAGGCAGAAAAGGCCCCACAAAAGAGCATGAGTAAGAGGACTTAGATCCTATGAAGAGCCTATAGCACATTAATATGTTACAAGAAATTACTAATAAAAGCTAAAAACTCATGTTTGCAAATATTTTTATATGTTAAAATATATTCAAAACTCAAACTCAAATGATCTCATTTATCCACCTGAATTATGATATAGTTTCTTAACTGTGGGAAAGTAGGTTAAGAATTATAGCAACTATTTTCAAATATTCACAAAACCCTTAGAATTGCATCACAATTTTGGATATCATGTTATTTTTGTGCTTAAAAAAAAAACACTGATTCTAAGGCATAATGCATAAAAGTAGAAGCCGAAATTGTTTTAATGTCAGCAATAAATTTGAAAAATGTTTGTTGACCACCTTAGATGGGATCCAAAGATCCAGAGAAGACAGAGCTGCCTCTTATCAACCAGGGACACTCTCTGCCTTGGTTTCACTTGTGTCAGTTCAAGAAGACAGAGCGCCTACATTCCATTTCCGCCCTTAGCAGGTGTTCCCTCTGACCTGGTCACAACATCTTTGGGTCAAAACTAAGATTCAGGCCATTCCCACCAGAGACTTGTGGAGGAGGACTGAAAAAAATCATGCGTCCTCTTTAAGTTAGTTGAGTTTATATCCTATCGTCCTGCTGTCTCCTTTCTAGTTGACCTACCTCACCTCTTTCAGTGTGCAAAACTGCAACTCCTAACGATTTAGGATCTGCTATGCAAACTTCGAAACTCAAAAAATAACAAGCTACTAACTACTCATACCTTTTAATTTAAACCTTATGCTACTTGAGAAATAGCTTTCAAGGAGTGTGTGTGACTGGAAATGAAGAAGCCAGCATTATCCTCAGTCAGAGGAATTAATCTATAAAACAAAAGGATAAGGAAACAACATGCAGTAAGAGTTTCCTTTAAGTTCGCTAGAACCTAAGCTTGCTTTGACAAAGCCGCCTGCTCACGGCGAGCGTGGCGGAGGCGGGGCAGGCCCCCAGGATGAGGTGGGCAGAATGTGAGGCAAAGGACCAGCAGCGGAGATGGGTCTTCTGCTGGAGGTCCTGAGCCCAGGTCACAGAGGCAGTGCTGCGTGAGCAGGGCTCAGACGGTCAGGTCAACCTAGTGATGCAGGTGGGTCATTCTCCCAGGACAGGCAGCACGGGGCCCTCCTCCAGAAAGGAAATGGAGAAGGCAAGCGCCTCCCTAGCAAAGTCCAAGTCCTCAACGGGGCCCTCAGATCCAACATGATTTACCCTAAAGACACTTCAGTTAGCACACAGACCTCACTCGTCCTCACGTGTTCCTGCATCATGCTGAGCTTAGGTTAAGAATGCGGCTTCTACGTTTAGTTGCAAGCACCAAAATAAACAAGTAATCGCCACTCAAGCAAAACTAAGATTTTAAAAAGTTGAAAGAAAATCACTTACCCCTTCAGCGAGTTCTAGAAGTGGAACAGGTTTACATTTGCAACTTGAGACCACGATTTTGTCGCCACTGGAGGAGGCGGACACTAGAAAGTTGTCTGAACTGGGAGTTATGGAGCATCCAACAAGCACCTGGAGCACCAGACCATGACCACAGGAGTGCAGCTACGAAGCAGACCCTCAGGAGACAAGCCGCGACGGGGGCTCCGGGTCCGCTCCAGCGCCAGCGACTCACTTGCTACTGGGACCACTCTCTGCTGCCACCGCAGGGAAGAAGCAGCCTCTGTCTGTCCCATCTCTTTTTTTTTTTGAGTTGGAGTCTCACTCTGTCGCCCAGACTGGAGTGCAGGGGCCGCTCCCCGCCACCGCAGCCTCGACCTGCTGGGCTCCGGCGATCCTTCCGCCTCAGCCTTCCCAGTAGCCGGAATTACAGGCGCGTGCTACCACGCCCGGCTGATTTTTTGATTTATTGTAGAGATGAGGTCTCACTGCCCAGGCGGGTCTCGAACCCGCAGGCTCAGGCAATCTGCTCACCTCAGCCTCCCAAAGGCGCGGGATTACAGGCTGAGCCACCGAGCCCGGCTGATACACTGTTTTTTAAACTACTATTTCATATTACTAACTTTAGTAGCAATGCAAAATATATTTTCCCATATGGATCATATTCAAAAGTTTCATTGACACTGGTTGCTTAACCTAATAAAAAGTAGTTATGTGTTTTCAAAGGATACTGTTACTGCTCCAGCATACTGAGCTGATTCCATGTGGCGATGTGTGGGGGTTGAACTTATCCACCAAGGTCATAGATGAAGCATCCCATATTTTAATATCATCTCCTGCTGAAGCAAACCTGAGGTTTTCCTGCATGACTGCACCTACAAATATTTTAAAACAATGTACGTATAAAGCAATTAAGGTCAGACACATACAAGTTAAAATTATGCACTTAATTTAAAACACTTTTGCCCCAAAGGACACTCACCAGAGCTGAGGTGATCTCTCTAACACATAAAACAGATCACGTGCTCTTAGTGGACCCTCCAACGGCCCCACCGCAGCTATACTGAAGTCCAACCTCCTCAGCCTACCTTCCAGGAGGCCCCTCGCGACTGTCCTCCGGCTTATCCCAAGGGCCCCCAGCCTCGGGCACACAGGCCCGCTTTCCGTCCCGTGTCCCTTAGTGTCACCATGGGCTGCCCCTTCCTGGAGTGTGCACCCGTCTCCCAGGGTCATCTCTGCTCATCACTCGGATGTCTCCTCCGAGGCCTTCCCTGGCCACCCGGGGCAAACACAGCCACTCACCAGTCACCCAGCACGCCAACTCTAGATCTAATTTTTTTTCAGGCCACTTCCTACTCTCTGAAAGTCTTATTTGTTCTCCTAATACGGTCTCCCTCCCCGTCCCAGTCTTGAAACACCATGGCTCTCAGCAAATTCCTAGTCGTTTAAAAAACGCACAACACTAGCATTCCTGCAGGTCAGACTCCAAGCGTCCCAGTTCAGCCACACGCCCGGAGGAGACGCCCCCAAGTCCCTATGCCAGCATCTGGCCCGCGGCTCGCCCTCCCCGGGCCCCACAGGCCTAGGCCTCGCGACCTCGGAGAAACGGCGAGGAAGGCGGCGGCAGGAGGCGGCTCTAAGCTGCCCGACCGGGTGAGAACACGCTCAAGAGCACCCAGCAGACCGGGGGCTGCCGTTCTCGGGG